TGCATTTTTAATGATCATATTTCTGGTGCCAGCATCCGTGGCTTGTAAAAAACCTGCCTCTCAATCTTGTTTACAACATAAGATTTAGTAATAAATTGTGAATTACAAGTGAGGAGAGGTTGATGTATTTTGTATTCTGGCAAGGAAATTTCAGTTTATTAAAGTGTACACCAATCTCCTTGAAATGTCCCTACATCTGATACTGCAGCATACTGAGTCTCTTTGCTGCTTGATAAAGCCATTTCCTAGGTAATGTCAGCTCCACAAGGCTACACATATAAAAAACTCATTAGAATAAGTCTTCCTGCATGGTCAYGTTCAGATGAGAGTCCTGTAAATTTATCAGCGGTGTTCCTGAAATGGCTTTCAACTTGGATCTGCACCTCCCTGTTTGCCAGAGATCTGATCTTGGATAAAAACTTATTTGGAATCCTTTCTTGGCTCACATAACAAAACATTGCTCCATCTTTCTTCTGCTCAATGATCAGCATCGGTTTTGTGCCACAAACTTCACTAAATAAAACATGTAATGACAAGGATGGTACTGACAAAAAGGAAGAGAGATTAAATGCACTTTTTCAGCCACCTATGGAATATCAGAATTCAGATGCAACAGGGAGAGGACAGAGGGATGCAATATGTTTAGGAAAACAAAGTTATTCTCAGAACAGAAGAAGGCATTGAAGTTCTGAAGTACAAAAGGCATAGGGAGTCCAAAGGTAGTGGAAAAAACAAGTGAGAAAAAGGGTTCCTCTTGGTTAAATTAGTACTGGAAAATGTCTCCATCTAGAAGTGAAGCTGAGGCAAGAAAGGGAATATTTARCTGTCTATATTTTATTTCCTCCCAAATTTCAGATTCATTGCTTCTGCATGCACTATTCCCCAGYGATCAGGCTCCTTGGACAAAAACCTAGTAATTCTTTTCCTTTTCTTCAGATTTCTATGTACTATCCCAACACGTACCGCAAGTAAATTTCTTGCTCCTGGTTTAGTACCAAACTTACTCTTTCCACCCTACTGCAGCTCCGCTATGTCCCCATGTGTTGTGCTGGCAGCATCCATGCGATACAGCACCAATTCACACATTAGTATGGACAGTATGGGTGAACCATAGACTCAGTCACACMAGGAGGAACTCAGAGGTTTAAGTCCAGAAATATATGCCAGTCATCCCACTCTTCCTCCAAACCCTTCTTTGCATTATATTCACAGCATGTGGAAGAGAAACAGCTGCCACGTAAGTTTAGACACAACTGAAGGGATTTTCTTTCCCATTTTCCTGATGACCACTGCTGATGCTAATTTTTTAGCAGCTTGATGAGAATCTGAGGACAAGGCCTTATGCATTCAAAAATGGTGCTCTAGAAAGACCAAATAAATTTTGTGTGACATCTCAGAGCTTTTCTGGTTTGGTTCAGTTRCCACTAGCATTTAAGGTCATTTTTSATGTGAGAATGTAGTAATTTTTTTCCCTTTCCGACATTCAGGGACAGCATACAACAATATCAAAACCAAAGTTTTGTCCAGTGACCTCTGGAATTGCAAGAAAATTATATTCTGTTAATTTCAGTGCCATTTGGATTGTTTTCAGGTTATATTGACATTTTTCTCAGTCTCTGTGTATCCCAAATACACCAATTATTTGATTTTCTTAATTGGATTTCCATGAAAACAGGAGCTTAGCTATTTTATACCTCTTGAAATATTTTCTGTGCCATTCAAGAGTGAGAGTATATATATWTTTACTACAGCTACAAAAACACTTTTACCAAATAAAGTGCAGTGAAGCCAGGATAGCAGTGTCATCATTTTGCTGTCCATCTGAAAGTGACAGATAAGAGTTGGATTATCCAAAAAAACCCTTGGATGGAAAGGATTGAAAAATGTGCAGCCCAGCTCTGTGTGACATAACAACCATTTCACAGAGCTCTGAGAGTACTGTGCTGTATCCCATTTGGGGTCTGGTCTGGCCCCAATCCTGGTCTGGATTGGCTGCTCCCCACACCCTGAGGRCRTTCTTGTACAGCCAGCRAGAGCYRCAGGGAGCAGTCAGTGCTGGGGGCTGCTGCTGTCTTGGCTCCTGACACCCCTGTGGGACAACTCCCATCTGTGGGGCCAAGGGAGGGGTGATGCACTGTGAAACTCAGTGGATCTCAGCAGGTTCCCACAAGGACTCTTCCTGCAGGATGCTGATTCCCGCTGTGGCAGAAGTCATGAGGGTCTCCGCTATCTCATAAAACTGGATTCTGACCCACATCCAAGCAAAAATAAATTAATCTCTTGCTCAAAATATTTTCAAAGGGTAACTGCTTGTTGCCATCAGGCTGTTTTCTTGTGTTCTTGTAGGACAGAACACAGTTTAGTCTGTGTTGACATTTATTTTGCTGCTGAAACATTATTAGGATCTTATTTTTGATCATAATTGGTAAGGCTGTAGTTCAGACGGGGGGTAAAAGAAGAACACATTTTTTTCTACTTATTTTTAGGGCTATAAATGCATATCAGGATTRATAATATTCAGTTTTCATCCCCTTTTCTATGCCCTGTATTTGTCTTTCCTCTTTATTTCATATTCCAYGTGAAATGTAATCATTGACATAAGTCACTCTCACTCTCTTCCTCTTGGCTAAAGCATGTCAGGATGAGTTAAGGGTTCAGGTGGCAATATTATGACCAAGATCTCTGGTTCCTTGTTGCTGTCTTTGCAGACTTTTCTTCCCTCAGTTGCCTGTTCTAGGTAGGGTGTAAATCCAACTTCCAGCCCAGCATGAGCCACACAGCACTTCAGGCTAAGGGGAACTCATTCAATTTTTCTGAGCTAAACAAGCAGCCCTTGGAGGCTCTTATACTGGATGGAGGGGAACTTGCCAACAAAGCCAGAAGGATCTGCTTGTAATTGCTCCTTGCATTATGGAAAGTTTGCTGCAC